CCAGATTGTGGGAAAGGTTTCAGTCATAATTCCAACCTGATTATACATCAGAGGACTCACACAGGGGAGAAACCGTACATGTGTCTGGATTGTGGGAAAAGTTTCAGTGTTAACTGCAACCTTGTGAAACACAAGAGGACTCACACAGGAGAGAAACCCTATCAATGTCCAGATTGTGGGAAAACTTTCATTCAGAATGCTCACCTGATGATACATCTGAGGACTCACACAGGAGAAAAACCCTATGTGTGTCTGGATTGTGGGAAAGGTTTCAGTCATAATTCCGACCTTGTGAAACACAAGAGGACTCACACAGGAGAGAAACCATATGAATGTCCGGATTGTGGGAAAGATTTCAGTACTAAGTCTAGTCTTGTAAGTCATGTAAGTGTACATACAAGGGAGAAACCTTACAAATGCCCAGAGTGCGGACGGTGCTTCTCGCAATCCTCGTCCCTTAATGCACACAAGAAAATCCACATGAGGCAGAAGGCAATGAGTGACGAGAAGGCTTGAATTTCTTTTCTGATCTGCCTTTGCAAAAACAAATGAGAAATTGACTATTTAATTTCTGACCTGATTCAGTTTAGTCAAATGTATCTAAGTATTTCTCATGTGGGAGAAAAGAACTGCAAATTGAAAATGTTAGTTTGATCTACTTGTGCCTGGCTATTAGCAGAATGTAGTAGAGGTTCTCTTGCAAACGTAGTGTAATTGCTGCAAAAATGTTTTGGGGATCCTATACAATATAATAAAAGATAGGAGCACTCAGATTTTCTTTGTGATTGTAGCTCCTTAAAGGTGAGGTAATGGGAGAGGGGAGATAAAAAGGGATTAGAGTTCATCTCTTCATTTCCAGAAATTCAGTGCAGGAAGAATCCCTGTTCAGATTGCGAACAGTGAAGCAATAAAAGTGAAGGACAGTGAAGCACAGAATGGGAAACATATGAGGGAGATTTGGGACAATAAGAAAAGCACCAAAAAAAAAAATCACATGTAAAGGTTGTTGACCTTGATATGCAATTGTTATTGGAATGCTATAGAGAAAAGGGGGTTGTGGTATTTGAGCATAGGATTTTCATGTTTATAACAACTCCTGCTGTTGATCTCCTTTGCTTGGAGATGCCTCCTGTTACCTTTGAATGCTGGTGGATTAAAATTTGAATGCTGGCAGTGTCAAGATGCTGAAAAATTTGCTAAGTTTAGAAGACACCAAAGAATTCAAGGCTTGTTTATTTTAGTAATATTTCAGGTGATAATACAATGCCACCATGACTCTGGACATACAGAAGCAATAGAGCATGTTCTTGTATGCCGGTTTGTGTACATGCAAAGTGACAATAAAATTATTTTAAGTTCTAAGTTGTCCAGTGGTTGTAAAGATATTTGTATCGGAGTAATCTCTCCAGTATTCAGGGCGCACAGGACAATTCTACATCTCCCTAAATTTCTTTTCTGGCTATCAGCAGATGTGCTCTGGCTATGAAAAGAACCACAGTAAGTAGATATTCCCATTTGCAAAAATAGGGCAATTGTTGTAAAAAAAAAAAATTGTATATTGATGAACAGATATAGAAATGTATCATACAGATTTGAAGAAACCTGCAGATCCTAAAGAATATATTGGGAGATAATTGCATGTTCCCTGCCCCCCATGCGCAGCAGATACCTGAAATGCGCATGTGCAATGGAACTGAGCTGGGACGACGGCTTGTGTGCCCACAGAGATGGCTTTGTGTGCCACTTCCGGCACGCGTGCCATAGGTTCCCCATCATGGGTATAGGATCTTCAAGTTTTCTACCAATTCCTGCTGTGATCTCCTTTGCTTGGAGGTGCCTCTTGTTATCCTTTGAATGATGGTGTGTGATAGCAGTGGAAGTTGCTAAAAAGTTTCCTGAATTTAGTAGACACCAAAGAATTCAAGGGTTCTCCGTGTCAGTAACACAGTTCAGGTTATAATACAATGTGCCTGTGAACCCGAACACACAGAAACTACAAAGCACATGTTTCTCCAGGGGCTTTATTAAACCGACATTAATATTGGGCTTGTCTTTCCAATACTGCAGAAATACTCAGGCCGCACAGAACATTTCTGTAGCTTCTGCTGTTTTCAGAGTCGCTCTGCTACAAACCACAGTACTATGTTTCCAGGTTCTGCAGAGCAGCACTTAAAATTGGTCTGATGATGGATGACCTGTGCCATAAAGTAGTCTTAAGGAGCATCCAGTTCATTATACCGTGTGCACCATGCAGTGGTAGATTTAATCTGACATATGCTCCTCACGGTGCTCTTAGATCCATTTAGGCCTCTTTTTATATATACTATGTCATTTATGTCTCTTGTTTTTTTATATAATTACTATTTTTACCCTGTGATTATTTTCTCTACTTTTTAACTGAATACACCCCACCTTTATTATCTTGGTCTTTCACTGTAATAAACTTTTTAATCTTTAAAATAATCCAATTATATTTAATTTTTGTCATATTTAATTATCTATTCTTATTTTGGGGCATATATGTTGTCACATTTTTATGGTTTAGGCCCTAAAAATGTTTGAAATAGCTCAAAGCTTCTGGATCTTTGAGAGGACCATTCAGTAATACAGACTCTTAATGTCTACAACATTCTGAGGTCTTTGTAGAACAAAATGAGACATTAGCACAGAGAGAATGGAAGGGAAAAAGTTGGAAGAGTCTGACTGGCTACTACAAGAATTCATTGCAAAGAGTGTGTTTCTTTTTATCATTCTGTAAAATAAGGCATTGGATGTCATTATGCAAAGACTCAAAGTAGACAAACTGATAGAAAGGGAATGGTGGAATTCCCAATAAGTAACCCCCTTACAGTAGAACGAGTAGCTTAATGAGATCCCAAAAAACCTACAAACACTATATTCTGTAACTCAAACAAAATTCAGCAACAGGAGATCTCATAGCCAGAGTTGCTGGTCCCCACAGCCAGCCCAGAAGCCAGCAGTCTACAGTCAGGGAAAGACTCCATCAATTCAGAAGAAAAATTTGGAGCTCAGATTTAAAGACAAAAAAAGATCCATTATCTGGAGAATAATGGGGAGCCAGTGACAAAGTTTGCAAAGATCAAGTTTGGTGGTAGTAGTTAAAACTTCCAGGTTACAGACCGGGAGGTGCTGAGTTCAAATCCCACGTTAGGCACAGATGCATCTGGGCAACCTTGGCCAGTCCCTCTCAGGCTTAGGAAGCAGGAAAGAGGGGAAACGCTTCTGAAAATCCTTGTCAGAGAAATCAATCAAGCCAGTCCCCAGGTGTCAAGTCTGACTTGAAGGCACCTAAAAGAAACTGGATATAAAGGTCAAAGACAGGGAATTAAAAGTGCAAAGAAGTTCCACTTCAATGTCAGTTCAGGCATGAAGGTAGCTTCCAGGAGCTATGGATGGAATATTGAGATGCCATTTGAAGCAAAAGGTTTGTCTATAAAGGGAGGTAGGTGGGTAGGAGGGATTAAAATGAACGTCTTTCTTGATCCAGAATGCTCTCTAGGAAGTGCTTTCTATCCTCTGAGTTCCCAAAAGAAAAGACAATTGATGTTGGTGTTGTTTTCATTCAGATTCCCCCATGCCACAGATATTAGAGCAAACGGATGAACTGCATCTTCTGAGTCTAGTAGGGCTACTATCTCCATCCCTACCACATTAGTTCTACATCAAAAATGGCAATAGTGGGTGCTTTTTTACAAAGGGTAGAGGGGCCTTCTTGAACCTAAAACACCCCTCTGCACTCCCACTGTGGGGTACCTCTTCCTCATCACCTTGCACCCCACCGCACCGTTCCTATTCTATCTTGCACCCTGTGTACCCTCCACAACTCATGTGGAGCCTGTGAACCTTTTCAGTCCTACATGGTGCGTTTCAGGCACGCCTTTCTCACTTGCCTTTCCAAATTTTCCCATCCACTTCTTTCACTCCCCCACCCAACAGGAGACACATCCTTTCTGGCATATGACTTACAGCTTCCTGCCGGTTTTCCCAGTGACTTTTCTTGTAAGAAGCTGGCAGGAAGTTATCGATAATCAGAACTTCACACATCGGCAATGCCAAGCTATGCAGTGGCTTTTTTAAGGATAAAAATTCTGGTCCGCTTTATCATTGGAAGTTGAGGACTACTTGCACTGTACCTGGTGGCTGTCCCATTGCTTTTTCCAACCATTCCCCATCTGAAATCTCTGAAAGTTAGTGAAATTAGCCATAAAGTATTCCCATGTGAGATTTTTTTTCCTTAGTGCTGAAATCAGTTAAGCAGGGGGTGCATGAAATTCCCTCAGCTAGATTGGCTAGGTGACCTAGAGAATTGATGTGGAGTTCTATGTTGCCTTTGTCTAGTTTCCTTCAATCTAACGGTGGAAGGAGGGTCATTTTAAAGATGAAAGTCTTTAGAAAGGGGTTGATGAAACACAGGAACAGTAAAACATTCCTCGGCATACGATACTGTGAAAAGGATGGGTGAGAATTCAGATGAACATTTTGCCCCCGTGGATCTCCAGTCTTCAATAGGCCCTGCATTTTGGCTGCCTCAATGGAACTGTGTAACAGGCAGAGAAAACCTTGGTCAATCGGTCCTGTCTCATTCCGAGGGATCCTTCCTGACCTATGGAGCCCCAAAATGAGGCTCGACTTTGAGGATCTGGTTCCTGCTTGCCACCTGTGCATAGAGAAAATCTCCCTGTTCTCCTGTATTGAGATGAGGAGCTTGGAAGGCAAAAGCTGGTCTGGATTTCTCCAAGGAAAGGACTTCATGCCAGGCTTCATTTCCAAGGAGACACAATTCTCAAATAGGAATGCCTGTTGACAATCACTTGATCGAAAGAAAGGTGGAAAGTACCATGTTTCTCCAACAATATGTCCCCCCCCCCATAGGAAGACCCAGCATATTTTATAGGCATAAAATTAAATTAAGCCCCTTCCCCCAAATTTAGGCCTATTTTAAAACATGCAAAATGGGGGGAAGGGCGGGGGGGGACTTGCGGTTAGGAGTGCTTGCGGGCAGCCATACCTTGCCACCAGCCGCTCCTAATGGGATCATGGTGGAGTGCGGAGAGCTCCCTACTCCTGCCAAGCACCTTTGGTGCAGAGCCGAGACCTTCGGCGCCCACCTATGTTGCTTTCCTTTCTGCCCATGCCACCTCTGCGTTTGGAGCTACCGCTTCCATGTTTGGAGCACTGCTGCCATTTGGAGCTGCCGCTTCGGCATTTGGAGCACCACTACCGCATTTGGAGCTGATGCTTCCGTGTTTGGAGCACCGCTGCCGCGTTTGGAACTGCTGCTTCTGCGTTGGGAGCGCCGCTGCCATTTGGAGCATCGCCACCACATTTGGAGAGTGTTTGGAGTGGTGGCAGTGCTCCAAATGGCAGCGGCGCTCCAAATGTGGAAGCGGCGGTGGTGCTCCAAACATGGAAGTGGCAGCTCCAAACACGATGGCACTGCTCCAAACGGCGGCGGTGCCCCAAACGCGGAAGTGGCAGTTCCAAACGCGGCAGTGGTACTCCAAATGTGGAAGTGGCAGCTCCAAATGCGATGGCAGTGCTCCAAACGGCGGCGGTGCTCCAAACGTGGAAGCGGCAGCTCCAAACATGGCGTTGCTCCAAACAAAGAAGCGGCAGCTCCAAATGCGGCAGCGGCATGGGCAGAAGGGAAAGCAACAGCGGTGGGCGCTGAAGGTCTCAGGTCTGCAGCAAAGGTGCTTGGCGGGAGTAGGGAGCTCTCCATGATCACCACGATCGCCCGTTAGGAGTGGCTGGTAGCGAGGCATGGCTGCGCGCAGGCGCTCTAGGCGAGGATGCAAGGGGGGGAATTAAGTCACCCCCGAAATGATGGCCTAGCCATTTTAAGGGACTCAAAAAAAAAAAAAAAAGACCGAGCCTTATTTTGTAAGAAACATGGTATAATTGTGTTGTTTTTCTTCTTTTTCAATTCCTTTCCTGTTTATATCTTATTTGCTATATTTGTTTTTGTTTTGTATGTTTTATTACATTAAACATTTCTAATCAAAAAGGGCAGGTATGTCAAATGGAGCATATAGTAAGTTTTTATGCAGTTTTGAGCCATGATGGTACAGTGGTTAGAGTGCAGTACTGCAGGCTACTTTTGACTGCTGGCTGCCTGCAATTTGGCAGTTCAGATCTCACCTTAAGGTTGACTCAGCCTTCCATCCTTCCGAGGTGGGTAAAATGAGGACCCAGATTGTTGGAGGCAGTATGCTGACTCTAAACCGCTTAGAGAGGGCTGTAAAACACTCTAAAGTCTGTATATAAGTCTAAGTGCTGTTGCTATTTGTGTGCACCTGTTTTATGCCATCCTTTGTGCAACTGTGAAATGTTTCTTTGGAAGGTTTATCACTTCCTTTAACCAAATATAGACAGTATCTTCTTCCTTCTAAGCCCCATTTTTCCAAGCCCTGCTGTGTATGCAACTCTTCGCTTTGGTCTAACGGTGACCTCCTGCAAGAGATTTGACAGAATCACGTGGCATTTAGAAGATTTAAAATCTCCTCCTTCAAGATCAAAGCTGGCTAGTGGGCACTTTCTGGATTAACCCAGGTTTCACTATTCTATTACCATTAAATAGAATGAAGCTGGCAATCATTTAGGTCTCAAGTATTTCATGAACTTTTAGGACCTAGCAACCAGCTTAATCTTGCAAAGCTAAGTTGACTCAACCTTCACTCTTCAAGTTTCCTCAGTTTGCAAAAGCAGGTTTTGAGGAGTTATCCTTGCTTCCCCCAGCTGAGAGGAATAACTGATTGGAAGAGAATTCATTGATCCATGATGTGTACTTGTTGCTGTTTGTATGCACATCGTTTCCCACACCTACCTACCGCACTTCCCGGAAACAAAGCCGCTGGGTGAGTTGTTGTTAGCTATGAGTGCATCCCTGAAGAACAGGTTAGCCATCGATCGACCCAAAGTGAACCTGTCGATGTGATCCGTGCGGTTGATAACCACTTGGTGGTGTATATAGTAATCGATCAAAAATCTTGCAAACAACGAGCGATTTTCAGTCTCATGTCGCTAGGGGGCGCGCCATGCAATGAGTAAAACCCGGTGATTAGAAAGCCGTCAATCCAGTGGCGGCATCGGTGGTTGATGAATAATACTGACATCCAACGGGAGGGGGAGCGGCAGAGCCGAAAGATGTTGAAACAATCAAGTCCTGGATTTCTAGAGCGGAGAACAGAGGAATCTCCTTTTCCGGCTGACAGATGGGAGGACCGTGGCGTGCAGGGCGGCTCTCCGCCTCTTCCCAGGAGGATGGCAGTAGCTGGAAGGTGAATTAAGGGCAAGTGGAAGAGAGGCGGGGAGCAAGTAGGACTGTTTGGTTTCCACCCCATTGTAGAAATTGAGAAGAAACCAGACTGAAACATGTCGGCTGTTGCAGCATGTTTCTTCCCTCCCCAAATTTTGTTGCAGTGGTGCTGGTCGCTTTCAAAGTAGTGCCTGCGATTTTCTTTGGTTGGGAGGTTTAAAAAATCTCCTTCGATTTAGGGTTGACTCTGTGTGATTTTTTATGATCTTGTTTTCCTGGAAACTGAGGAATTTCATGCACAACACTGGGGATTATATCTTGCAGATGCTTTCAGCCTTTTTTTTTAATCGGTTGAAGTCCTCGTCTATTGAAGCCCTCTCTTCCTCTAAAACGAGACTGAAAAGTTTGAGCGTAGCCGCTTCTGGGAAATGTTTGCTACTGAAATACACATGGACTTTTACCATACTTAAATTGGTAGGTGTACCTGTATTTGTCTCTCCATGCATATCTGTATAGCTAGCCTCTGTATGTCCAGCTATATTTGAAAATAAGAGTTTGTAATGCGAAGAATTTGTGATTTGTTGAAGTCCAGAAGAGAATTTAATGCTTGTGTGAAAATTTGAACTTGAATCTTGCTGGTAAGTATATTTATTTGTGTTCATATCTGTAGGGGGGGTGGGTAGTGGTGAAAGATGCTGAGCTTTCCAGCTAAAGAGCTGACAGCTGGGGTTTGAGACCAGAGCTCCATGCAACAGAGTGAGCTCCCATTACTTGCCCCAGCTCCTACCAACCTAGCAGTTTGAAAACATGCAAATACAAGTTGGTTAATAGATACCACTCTGATGTCGTAATAGAGTTCTATGTGCCTTTGGTGTAGAGGCATGCTAGCTGCATGACCCCTGAAATTGTCTTTGGACAATGCTGGCTTCCTTGGCCAAGAAGCAAAAGAACCAAATAGTAGAGTTGGAAGGGACCTTGAAGGTCTTCTAGTCCAAGCAGGAGACCCTGTGCCATACTAGACAAGTGGCTGTCCAGTCTCTTAAAAGCCCCTAGAGCACACACAACTTCTGGAGGCAAGTTGTTCCACTGAACCATTGTTCTCACTGTTAGGAAATCTCTCCTTAGTTCTAGTTTGGTTCTCCCCTTGATTAGTTTGTATCCATGGCTTCTTGTCTTGCCTTCTGGTGCTTTGGAAAATAAGTTGACCCCCTCCTCTTCACAGCAACCTCTCAAATACTGGAATACTGCATTCATGTCACCCTTAGTCCTCCTTTTCTCTAGACTGCATAAACCCAATTACTGCAATCATTCTTCATATGCTTTAGCTTCCTAATAATCTTTGTTGCTTTTTTTCTGCACTCTTTCCAGAGTTTCTATCTGGTTTTTATAGTATGGTGATCAAATCTGTATCCAATATTTGAAGTGTGGTCGTACTAAGGATTTATAAAGTGGTATGAAATAAGATTTGTTTGACATGATCTGTTTTTGACAACCCGGTGTTGGCTTCTAGTTATAACTTTACTTACTTCAAGGTATTAACAGATCTGATGCTTGATTATTTTCTCCAGTATCTTCCCAGGTAGTAATGTTAGTCTGACTGGTCTTCAGTTTCCTGGATTTGTTTCCCCCTCCCTCTTTTGAAGATGGGAACCGCATGAGCTTTTTTCCAGTCTGGTAGTTCCTGGTAATTCAAGATCTTTGAAAGATATGGATCAGTGGTTCTGAGATCACATCTGCCAGCTTCCTTCACTGGGAGCTGGCAGAATATTGGGATGTAATCCATCTACAATGGACAAGCGTTTTCTTGCTTATTTTAATTTGTATTCCTGGTCTGTCTTTTACGGTTATGTTTTTGATAGGTTGAGCTGTATTATCTGTTTGCATGAAGACAGATGCAAAGAATGAATTAAGCAGCTCTGCTTTCTCTCCACTGTCTGTTGCTTCCTCTCCATGTTCTCTCATTAGTAGACTGAATGGTTCCTTGACGATTGGTTCTTGTTTTTTATATGTTGAAAGATTTTTAAAAAATAATTTTTGACATTTGCTGCAAGACTTATTTCATTCTGAACCTTAGCTTTTCTGACTTCATCTTTGCAAGTTTGGTCTATTTGTTTGTATTTTGCCTTAGTTATATGCCTTTCTTTCCATTTTTTTTACTTATCCCTTTTGTCTTTCATTTTATCAGAGAGTTCTTTGTATAACCACGCTGGTTTCTTCTTGGATTTTTTCTTTTTCTTTTTACGTGGTATTGAGGTGGACTAGGCTTTTATAACCATATTTCTCAGAGTTCTGCAACCTTGTTGAGTTGTTTTCCCTTTTAAGACTTTCATCTATGGAATCTTTCCCAAGCTCTCTTTATGTTTCTTAAAATCAGCCCCTTTGAAATTTAAGACACTGGTTTGATATGTTCTATAGTTTGTATTTGAATTATATTAAATTTCAATATGACGTGATCACTCTCCTCCAAAGTTGCAGCAACTTCAACTCCCTCTACCACTCCCTCTATCACTTATTCTGTGTTAGTAAGAATTAGGTCCAGTACAGGTCCTTCTGAGCCTTATCTTTCCTGACTTCATCTTTTCAAGTTTTTTTATTTGTATTCTGCCTTAGTTATATGTCCTTCTTTCAATTTTTTGTACTTATTCTTTTTGTTTCAGTTTATCAGAGAGTTTTTTGTGTAACCATGCTGGTTTCATATTGGATTTCTTGTTCTTTTTCAGTGATATTGAGGTGGACTGGCCTTTTATAACCATATTTTTCAGTCACTCAAACTTCTTGACTTGTTTTCCCCTTTAAGACTTTAATCCATGGTATCCTTCCCAAGCTCTTTCTAAGCTTGTTAAAATCAGCTCTTTTAAAATTTAAGGCACTGTTTTGATTTTGTTCATTCCCTTCATTGGGAACTGGCAGAATATTGGGATGTAATACATCAGGTCCTGGTTATTTGAACTCATCTACAATGGACAAGTGTTTTCTTGCTTATTTTAATTTGTATTCCTGGTCTGTCTTTTACGGTTATGTTTTTGATAGGTTGGGCTGTATTATCTTTTTGCATGAAGACAGATGCAAAGAATGAATTAAGCAGCTCTGCTTTCTCTCCACTGCCTGTTGCTTCCTCTCCATTTTCTCTCATTAATGGACCAATTGTTTCCTTTATTTTTTTCTTGCTTTTTATATGTTGAAAGATTTTTTTAAGATTGTTTTTGACATTTGTTGCAAGTCTTACCCCCTTCTGAGTCTTATCTTTCTTGACTTCATCTTTGTAAGTTTTTTGTTTGTATTCTGCCTTAGTTACATGTGCCTCTTTCAATTTCTTGTACTTATTCTTATTATGTTTCAGTTTATCAGAGAGTTTTCTGTGTAACCATGCTGGTTTCATATTGGATTTCTTGTCCTTCTTTTTCAGTGATATTGAGGTGGACTGGCCTTTTATAACCTTGTTTTTCAGAGTCACTCAAGTTTCTTGACTTGTTTCCCCCTTTAAGACTCTTTCTAAGCTTGTTAAAATCAGCTCTTTTAAAACTTAAGGCACTGTTTTGATTTTGTTCTATTGTGTTTGCATTGTATTGAATTTCAGTATAGAATAGAATGGAATTCTTTACTGGCCAAGTGTGATTGCACACAAGGAATTTGTCTCTGGTGCATAGGCTCTCAGTGTACATAAAGAATACATTCATCAAGAATCATAAGATACAACACTTAGTGATAGTCATAGGTTACTAATAAGCAATCAAATCATACTATGAAACAAATAAAACAATATAAATTGTAAAGATAAAAGCAACACGGTTATAGCCATAAGTGGAAAGAGATAGGTAATAAGAAGAATGAGAAGAATAATAGTAATACAGTCTTACTAAGTATTTTATAGTGTTGTGGGAATTAGTTGTTTAGCAGAGTGATGGCAGTTCAGGAAAAAACTGTCCTTGTGCCTAGTTGTCCTGGTGTGCAGCGCTCTATAGCGTCGTTTTGAGGGAAGGAGTTGAAACAGTTTATGTCCAGGATGTGAGGGGTCTGTAGATATTTTCACAGACCTCTTTTTGACTCGTGCAGTATACAGGTCGCCTCCCCTGCACATGTGCACACATCTCCTGCCCCCTGCATGTGCAGCAGATACCTGAAATTCACCAGCTGGCACGCACGTGTGCGCAGTAAAACTGAGCTGACGTGACGACTCATGTGGCCGCAGAGATGGCTCTGTGTGCCACTTCTGGCACGCATGTCATAGGTTCCTCATCACACCCTATATCATTTCCTTTGTGTTAGTAAGAATTAGGTCCAGTACAGCTGTCTCTCTAGTTCCCTGCTCTGTCTTTTGCATGACAAAATTGTCAGATTGGTCAGGAACCTGTTCAACCTCCCACCTGATGCAGAGCTTGTGTCACCACTGATGTCAGGATAATGAAAGACTTCCACTACTGCTCTGGTGTGTTTGCAGCATACTTTTGTGAATGTATGTAGCAGAGAAAAAAATGAGGCAGAAACAAGTCAATTACTGCTTCATTTTTCTTTCCTCTGCAGATTTTGTTTCAGTGGTACTGGTTATTTTAAAAGTGTTGTCTGCAAAAAAATTTTTGATGGTTGGGAGATTTAAAAGTCTCCTTCAATTTAGGATTGATTCTGTGAGTTTTTGAGATGTGCTATTTTCTTGGAAACTGAGGAGTTTATATATCTGGCATATGCTCTGAGCACCATTTCATCAGTTGAAGCACATCATCTGTTGAAGCCTTCCCCACTCTAACATTGGATTAAAAATGTGAGTGTACCTACTTTGGGGACATTTTTGTGGCTATAATACACATGGACTTTTAAAATACTTCTATTGGTAGGTGTGTCTATATTTGTTTCTATATTTGTGTGCATATCTATATAATCTGTCCCAGGTATTCCCTGATGTATTTAAAAATAACAATTTAGAATGCTAAGAATCTGTTATTTGCTGAAGTCCAAAAGATAATATAATGTTTGTTTGGATATTTGAGCTTGGATCTTGCTAGTCTTCCATGGTTTAAAGGAACCATAGTTAATGTTAGAGCATTTTGGCATGTTTCCTTTCTCATTGTAATGCATGCTTTGTTCTCCTGCTGTTTTCACATTTTCTGCAACCACTTCATAAACAACCATTAAACTATGGGCTTGTGTCAATCTTACAGGACAAAGAGGATGCCCAGAAGAGAATTCCAGACAAGTGAGAATCACATTCAGCATTAAAAAGGAAAGCAAATCCAGCCAGCAATGAAAGTCTTTTCCACTTGTTCTCCTTCTGCAGGCAGGTGACAGACAAAAGAGAAAATAACAGGAAGAGAGTTTTGAGCTGGAAAAAAATTGAGTATATAGAATTCAAGCAGGCACTTCCAAAAGGATAAAGGGATCATTTCCAAATTCAGAAAAAGGGGAAATACTCTAGAACTCACTGGAGCAGAAAGAGACGCTCGGATAGGCATGTAAGACAGGCAGTCATGGAAGCTTCACTCTGTGAAGAAAGAAATAATAGTTTGAATCAAAGAAAGCCATATCTCTGTCCAATTTGTGGAAAAACTTTCATTCAGAATGCTCACCTGATGATACACCTGAGGACTCACACAGGAGAGAAACCCTATGAGTGTCCAGATT